CATCGGACGCGACGCATGAAGCCATCCAGTTTTGGGGCTTCGGCGGGCTGGCCAGATGTGTGTCGTCATGCTCTTCCTTCAATTGCGATATGCCACGCGCCGCATGAGCGCAAACAGTACGGCTCACTGACCTGGCGACAGCGGCGTTTGGCCGCTGAGTATCTCAAGTGCAATTCGCAGGGGGCACATCCGTGGGCTTGGGGTTGCACAGAAAGGCCACGCCATTCCAGGGACATTTCACGGTGCCAACGCTTGGTGCGATGGAAGCGACACGAGATGCCCTTCTTGGACGGTCCACGCCCGTGGAAAGTCAGGCAAGCTTTCTCGGCCGTTTGTAGGATTGGCAAAGTGTTTGTCTACGCAGAACTGCAGTTCTGTCTGGGTGTGGCCGCCAAAATACCTACTCCAGCGTTGCACGACAGGACTTGGGTTGCGCCTGTTCAGCCCCTTCTTGCTGGATTTGGGGTTGCCGTGGACGCCAGAACGAAACTGGACGAGCAGCTGCGCTTCCCCATCGTAGGAGACTGTAGCGCGCCAGGTGCAGGTACCGTGCTGGCAATTGTTGCATCGCATTCGAAAACCTCCAGCACAGCGCTTTCGAGTCACCGCCGTGCACTTGACTTGGAGAGGCTGTCCGTGCACTCGAGGGCGGCGGCGTTCTTCCTTCTTATCTTGCTTGCTTTTTCTCTCCTTCCTTCCTTCCTTCCTTCCTTCCCTCCTTCCTTCCCTTCTTCCTTCCTTCCTCGCTTCCTTCCTTCCTTTCTCCCGGCACTCCTTCATTCCTTCCTTCCTCGCTTCCTTCCTTTTTCCTTCCTTGCCTTCGGAGGGACCCCCCCCAAAAAAATGACCCCCCCCCAAAAAAAAAAGAGATTGAAATAATACGCCTTCCCAGATATGTGTAGAGAGAGATGAAGGCAGACAGTCAGACAGAGAGAGAGAGAGAGAACTCGAGAGACAGAGAGAGAGAGTCGGAGACGACAAAAGAAGTCCATCAGCCTTCCACCCCAAATGCTGAAGCCTAAGTTGCCTGCGCCCTTGGCGATGCAACTCGTGGCCGCCGAGCCTTGCCGAGGAGCTTCTTGGACTCACCCTGAGGCAAAGGATGCAAAAGGTTCAGGCTTTCGGCCGCATTGGGGTTCAAGAATGGGCAGGTATGGGTCTGGGGGCTAAAGACAACAGCTGTCCCAGCATGTGAGAGATTGTGTTCGCTCGCGGGATGGCCTCCGTTTCACCATCTGAGCCAAAGTCCTCCTCTTTGTTGACGAGGTTGCGGCGCGGAAACTGTCAAAGGCTGGCGGGACGATGATAATAGCTGTCTGAACTATGCCAACAACGTCGATAGAAGCAATGAGCATCTCGAACAGCTGTAAACCACCAGTTTCCATCCACGCAACACCATAATGCCATATGGAACAAGCAGCAAGGGCATGGCCCGGACCTTTCTCTGGTAGGGCTCGGTGTTGGTCGCGCCACCGATAAGATCGGGATGAAGTCCTTTCCTCAAGGTAGGGGCAGCGGAACAGACGGACAGTGCATATCTCTGCCCCTGTCAAAGGCTCCCACTCCAAGAACCTGCGCGCAGGGTTGCGTATCGGGGTTCATGGTTCTCTGTGGTAGAGGAGGGGAATTTGATCCTCACGGTGCAGACTCGCAGCGCAATAATGGTGCTGAATGCTTCCGTGACAGAGCACGATGAGAAGGAGTGCTACTGACGACGAGGATGAGGTAGTGAAGGAGGAGGAGGGAGGAGGAGGGCGACGAGGGCGACGAAGGACAACGATCACTAATCGTAGCTCTGCTGCTCTCGGTAGTCATGATGACGGTGACGATGCTGATGATGATGAAGAAGATGATGATGGTGATGACGACGACGATGATGATGATGATGATGATGGCGATGATGACGATGATGACGACGATCGCGATGACATCATGATGATGACAGGCCATGGGCCTGGTACCAGCAACTGCCTCACTTCCAAGATATACTAAGGTTCTTTATGCTGGTTGTAACGCTGTTGGCATTGTTGCACTTGGCGTTCCATGTCTGTCTCCATTCTTGCTATCAGTATGCGTAGCGGCGTAGCACGGCCTCGAGAATCGATCGGCTGTAGCTGCTGCTGCAGACAGTTCTGCTGCAACCCCGCCATCAACAATACCGTTGCTGCACTCAGCCATGTTACGAAGTCATGATTACCACATGTCTACGATTGTTGAGAATGGTGTTATTGTTGATACCAGCGGTTAGTATTGTCAAAAGCGAACCTCACTGCTTGCTTGGACGACACTGTATAATCATAACCTTAGAATCAGAAAGCAGAAACAATGGTGTTAAAGTTGTTACCCTTGATGGTTGCTGCTTACGGTTTCCTTCTATCCTTGCCACTGCCATTCTTGATCCTGCTGCCGTTCCGACGGCTGTTGCTAAAACTTCCTCCAGTGCTGTACAGCACTCCGGAGACATGAGCCTCTTCTTCACCCTGAGCATGATATCCTCGTACTGCTCATCCATCTCTGCCTGGAAGGATATGCACAGGAGAAACGAAGATAAGAGCCAGAAGCAGAACATCCAGCACTGGCTCGCGAATCACCAAACTCCAAAAAGCGGAAAGCCTAAGCTCCAGTAATTCTGCCCTCGCCTTGAGCTGATCCACTTCCCTTGCTCGATTCTTCTCCTCTGCCTGGGGCACTAGGGCTCACTAGGGCTCACTAGGGCTTCTTGGATCCAGTCTTGACATTTAAGACTTCGGGCCAGGGCCAGGGCTCCATAAGCCGGAGCCCCGACGCTCAAATCCGGGGGCCGTTGAACTGAAGCCTTCTTTGCCACGTAGCTTTATGTTGGTGAATCAAGTTGTATGAGCGGGAGCTTGGGGCGCAACTGTTGGGTTGGTTTGGAGCTACAAACCTGCCTGTTTGACTAGGCTAATGTGATTGCCACCCTATGTCGTACCTCTGACCGGACACCAAAGAGCCAAACAACTTTCGACATAAGAAACCCTGCACCTGCGACCCCAAAACTCAAAACCACAAGACTGTGCCCTGACTTTGCACTCACTTGCGAATCCTTTTCCGGCCGCAACGGCACTTCACATCCCTCTGTACACTTGTGGGGGGCTTCTCAACACCGGAGCAGTGTTTGTCGAGTTGGAGGTGTAGTGTCCACGGTCACAGCTATCGATGGAGCTGGCAATCCACATTGCGGCGGCGTGCATTTGAGGTCATCAACACGACACAAGGTTGTGGTAGTGGTCTGAGGCGAGGGGTTATGAACTGCGGATAATCGTAGGGGGAGGTAGAGGTGTTGCTGTTGTCAGATTCAGAGAGGAGGTATGTTTATGGATTAGTGAAGAGCTAGGAAGCGGCTACAACATACAAACAGAAAGGCCTACGAGTGTTGTGAGAAGCCCTCACTGAAAATCTGTACAAAGCTTTGGCCGCCCGAATGGTCGGCGGGAACAGATATGCTCGACCCGGATCGGCACAAGGTACGGGCCCAACTGCTGGAACTCCCAAAACTTTGTTGCTCTGCCGCTGCCATTTGCTGGTTGCAGCGAATTCTGGGTTCACTCAGCGCTTGCGGCGCCGCTGTGTTGCTCCTCGAGACACCTCTGTTGCGGAGAGTGGCCAAACCCACAAGCATTGTTTTGCACTTGCACGATGCTGACGAAGCGATGACGGCGACTAAGATGAAGACTACGAGCCTGACGATGTTTTCCAAGGCCATGGTGATAACGACAGTAGCGACGACAACGAATGACCGTGATGATCATGGGGAACATCATTGAAAGTGATTCATCACGAAAGTGATGCCGATCATGCCGACGCTTGTGCTAATGACAATACAGATGTCGCCGATGATGACGACGACGATGATGGCGAAGCTTGCGATCGTGCTTGGTTCAGTCGCGAAACTGTCAAGATGACGATGGTAAGCATCACCATCATCGAAATAGTCTCCGCCACCATCACCCCTGCCAACATCATCATGAGTGGGGTCATGATGCTGGCAGTGATGGTTGAAATTCTGCTGCATGTTTTTGCTGATAGTGATTGCGATATGTGTTGATGAGGATGCGGACGAGGCTCCTGTGATGCTGATTGTTTGGACTACACTGCAGAAGCAGAGTATTGTGATAACTACGACCATATGACCATCATGAGGCTGACTATGCTCTGAACGACTGTTGTGTTGCCCATCGCCACTGCTCATGGCCATCATTCGCTATCATCTTGTACCTTGTCTGACTGGCATCCGAAACCTCTTCAATTTGATCCACCATGCACGCCTCTGGGTATAAGCGTCGTCGCTCCAGATCATCCAACTGCTCATCCTAGGCTCTTTCAGGAAGCGGCCCTAAAGTCGAGCAGGTGCCTTTTTCCTGGCTCTCCAGAAAACGGCACCAATGGCAACATGCGGTGCATCTCAAGAGTGACACGAATACAAGTCGCAATCCAGTTTTCCTGGCAGGAATCTTCCCCGACCGTCGCAAGGACTTGAAGGGAAGCCTGCAGCACATCACTGCATACAAGCCCGTGCACAAGGCTGTGCTCTACCGAAAGCGTCCTCTTCGAAGTATTTGTGAATGAGATGTTGTTGCACGCAGCTTATCAAAATGCCGCTTGCTGGGTCGCGCACATTGTTGGCAGGCAACCGGACAAGTGGAGGTATGGGCACACCTGAGGTGGCTCGAGATTACAATTGAAGGATACTTCGCCTGGTCCCAGACGAATGGCTTCTGCCATGCTCAGAAAGAGTCCATTTATTTTTTAGCAGCCGCCCTTCCCTCCAAACCTAAACCCGAAATCGAGAAGTCCTAAACTCTCAACACACACCTGAACTCTCACGACGGCCGGTCCTCGAGGCTTTGAAGGGCCCCCTCCCAGCTGCCGCGCGCGCTCTGCCCAGGTCAGGGGCTTCGTCTTGTCCGGATGGACCAGCACTGCACCACTCTCCTGCATTTGTCGATGTTGAGGGCTTCGGAAATTGAAGGTCTGGGGCTCTAGGGTGTCACATGCATCCAACCTGAGCGAAGCGAACAGTGTACAGTAGCCAAACCCAGCCAGGACGGGTCTACACTCTGAGAAAGCTTAGAGGGAAGCTCCTCGTCAAAGGCCAAGTCAGGTTCGGCGATGTCCAGCCAGGAGGACAGCGAGGAGGTTTCACAGTCAACGAAGTCGTCGAAGGTTTCCGGAAGCGATGGCCACTCGGATCTAGGATGCAAAGAAACCGAACATGTCCGACGGTTATGGTGGGTCTACTCTCGTCTGCGCGTTTAGGCTCCAGAGTTGATGCTCGAGACGACCTTCCACAGTTCTGTGCCGTCATTCAACGACCCAGATGCCCCGAAACAAGCAAATTCGGACCACAAACCATTTGCGTAAGCTCACACCAGCCATCGCTTCAAGATCAACTTTTTTGCCTCAGGCCCGAACCCCGACAGATGCACAGGTGCCAGATGTCCGCTTCGCGCATCGATGCCCGAGCCTGTCAGGTGCACCCACGTTCTAAGCTTCAGATACAAGCCCGGCAATGATTCTAGGTCTACGAGAGGTTCTCGAGTTCCTTTCGGTAATTCAGTACCTACCCACACATCCCATGCCTGCGCTTGTAGCAGCCTGGCAGCGTTCTCCAGAGCCATCCACGGCTTGATCCTCCTCTTCCAGCGTGCTGTCCTCCACGCAAAGGTCCCAGGCCTCTGAGGCATCCTTGCATCACATTCCTTTGAACCACTACTCTCCGATTTTTCAGCAAAAATTCTGATTACCAGTAGCAGGCTCAACAGCTCGTCGGGTCTCCAAGCGCATATGAGTGGCGATGGACGCCTTGACCAGGGCCGTGCAACGTCCAGCTGGCTTGGACGAAGCCCCTCAAGGAACGGCGACGAAATGTAATGTGGCTTTATGGTTGTGGGCTGGGCTTTTAGATCAATGGACGGCTGCAAGTCTAGGTGCCTTCCAGCCGACTTCTTCCAGTTTGCTTGAAATCTCATTAACGGCCAAGCCGTCTAATCCAAACCCTGATTCCTCAATCCTTGACTCCACCCTAGAATCAGGCCTAGCATGACCTCCGGCAAATCCTCGTAGCATAGGCTCGGTCCAGCCGGCTCGCACCGAATCTCTGCCTCGGGACCAGCTTTAAGCTGGGCGGACCTACTGAATCCTCCCCTCCTCACCTGTGCCTTGCATCAGCTGGTGCCACATGAATGGCCAAGCTTCCCAAGCAAGTCTTAAAAACTCGGCAGATTGCCCCTGGCCTCTTGCATCACACTCGTGCCTGACATGTTGAAGGCTTCAGCCAGGATGCAGCTACTGGGCTCTCCTCCAGTGTGATGCGCGGCGGCCGGCTCTTGCACATGGCCTCCACTGTGGCCGACGTGGCGTACATGGCACACGGGTGCAGCACGACACCTTCGAGCCGAAATACTGCATCGCATCCCGGCTTCGCCTCTGCATCAGCACGGATCACCGCGAGCGTGGCATGCTTTGTACGAAGTGGTTGCGTCGGTCGAGCCTGCGCAAAGTCTGCGATGTTGGCAGATGCTTCGCCTGTCCTGAGCCACGAGCAGTTTCGAAACAACGATGAAAGCGCTGCTGCAAAATGGTGCAAATGCTGGGCGGCGCACTGGCTGTCTGCAAGTTGCCTGCATGAGCTTGAACCGAAATCTCGAGACTACCAATACACCTTGAGCCCTTAAACCTACTTCCGCATGACTTTGAGTCCAAAAGCCTAAGCCCTTGGCAGCCCGAGTCAAGGCTCGTCCTCGAGCTTAGAAACCCCAAACACCGCTGTACTGTTTCTTGAACTCCGCAAGACACCACGGAACACGTCCCGCGTAATGCCTACCCACACAGTGATGTGCATACGTACCTCGATTACACCCAAATCAACATTGCAGTCACATGCCCAGCCTTAGCGAAGGCAGCATGTCGTCCTTCTTCTTCTTCCTCTCTTCAAGCACGTGAAGCTGCACGCAAACTTGTATGCTAAAATTCGCATAGTGTTTGTACGGCAGCACTGTGTCAGGACACTTATGTATGTTGCTGTTGTGACTATGCTGGTCTCTACTCACTGCAAAGACTTGTCACCAGATGTTTTTTGCAAGAAATGTCAAGGACAAGACGCCAGAGTCACAGTCCTTTTGTAAATTAGTCTGGGTCACAGCTGCTACTGACCCCGCACAAACGCACAGAGTCTCTAAGGTTCGAACCCAGCCAGGACCTGTCAGATGGAACAAGGGGATATGTGCTGATGCTTGGTGGCTTCGGGACAGCTTCGTTGAAGCTCCAGAAAAATCTGCAAAAGCCAATGCAGCCCATCATACTAAGAGCCACAAGGCTTGGGTGCCCTCAGCCCTCCACCCCTAGACCATTAGCATCATTAGCTTCAAGGTACAGGTTGATTCGGGTAGCTCCGCTGAAGCTCTTGCGAAAAACCGCACGCCAAAGCCCTGAGGCCATCCTTTGAATGCTGATTTCAACTCAGGAAAAACATCCTAAACTCTTGAAACCCTCAAACCCCGACAGAGCACCAAGACGTTTCATTGAAATCGATGAACACTTAAGAAGGGTATCAATAGAGGTACATATCGGTAGAACATGCCCATAGTCGACTACGAGCGCTTCATGTTTAGCAACCACACAAAGCTTCCTGATCCTCCCAAGAACCCTGAATTCCTGAAGCCCCAACCCAGAATTCCAGTGGGCTTCAAGCCGTGACTCCGGAATCCTAGATGTTCTCACTGTCACCTTCTGCTGCTGCTTCTCGAAAAGCGGCAGACGCCGGGGCATCTTCGCTCGCCTTTTTGTCGGAAGTTTCGTGTTGGGTTTGGGGTCAGGGTGTAAGGGAGTGGGATGTGCGGGTTAGGCTTTGGTTTGAGGAGGCAGAGTAGAAGGCTTTGGGCCTTGCTAAGGACGGTCTGTGTGGAGTTAAACTTTCTCAGACACAAAAGTTCAGCGTTCGAGAAGAGAGCCCACCGGAGCCTACTAGATAACCAGTAACTAGATGCCATCAATCCAGTAGCATCGTAGGTTGAGGAAGTCCCAAAATTTCCATGGCGCGAACACATGGAAACCCGAAACTCAAAGTCGAAGCCTGGGACCCGAACGTCGCACTTCAAAGGGAACGCTGCTGCTCTCACAACCCCCGCCGCTCCCCTGCAGCATAGATCCGACAGTATGACATCCGAAGCCCTGAACTCGGCCGGGCTGCAGGCCAAGGAGTCCTTTTTGCTCTCTGTACGCTTGTGGGGTCTTCTGACTTTCGGGCCACAGAAGGTTCGGGGTCCAGGCCTGATTGCTTGGGCTTGGAGCTGAGTAATTAAACCAGAGATACGACAACCCTGTGCAGCCGCGAGGGCCAAGGCATGCTCGGGGCGATTGAAGCCAAGGCACGAAATCTTCGGATCTTCGCCAGGTGGGACTTGCTCGATCTTGTCAAGCTCCGGGGCGATAAAGACCTAGCACCCAGGTCTCCCACAAGTGTGAGGCTTTGGGTTTGGGCTTTGGGCCTGGCAGTCAACTGAGGTGGACCCCAAACCTTCCCAACAAGCCGACATAAGCCCTTCTCTGAGCATCGCACTCCAGCAGTGCGCCCCTCGACTACTTTGAGTTCGAAGTCTGGACCTCGATTTCGAGGCGTTCCACAAAGGTCTTCCACAGCGCTCAGGGCCTGAATCTTAACCCTCACTGTTGCCTCCGGAAACAACGGACTTTAAATACCAGAAGGACCATTCCACGTGTTACGAGGTTTTTTTCGTAAGCAGCGGGCCCGGGTTGATCAGCACCTCCCTTTCACCTCGCGGACGGGAGTCGTCACTCTTCATTTAGTCAGGGATCTAGAAGTTGCAGCTTCCGGGCTTATGATGTACTTCGGGTTTAGAGCCAGCGTAAGGTTTCAGGGATCCATGAAGGTTCAAAAACAGCGGAGCAGTTAGTGATCACGAAGATCCGCCTGCCTTCCGGCATCTGGCTGAACTCCACAACTTTCCTAAAAATTCTATCTTGTACATGCGTGTGTGACAGTTGAAAAAACAGCGGCCTGGCATCGTGCCATTGCAAAAATCACATCCCGCGCCTTTTGCATGGCCGCGACTGGTGTTCAATGGCACCGTGTCGGTGATGCCTCGCGGGGTGTGCGGCACACCCTTTCTCTGGCAATGCAACCCAAAATCCTCACGCCAGCCCAAAACCCCGAAACTCGTGCCTCATCTCCGAAAATCTAAACCTCTAACGTCGTAAGCCTAAAGCCCTCAAAGCCCTCAATTCCTGAGGTTCGATCCGATCAAGTACGTGCTGCCCTTGGACCGAACCAAGACGTCCTGTTGTTGCTGAGCGACTCTGGATTGAGGTCTTAGATCTCTTGCACCGGGGTGATACTCGGAGGATCACGGGACTTAGCCAGCGTAAGGAAAGTTTGAATTGCCACTTTAGGCTACGTCTTTGAGCCCAGAATCCAAGAATTCGTGCTGAGGGCTACATGTTGGACGTTCAGACAAGGTGTAGGCTTTGGGAGAGGCAGTGAATACGGAGGGACTAACTGCCAGGTACGAGGCAGGCGGCGAGACACAGGTGTCGCTCCAGACTAGGTGCATACCTGCCGTCTGTTTGATTGCAAATTGGGCACATAGAGACGGACAGGAAGGTAAGACACGGTCCAAGAGTTTGCGCAATCGAGCTAGGGAGAGAGAGTGGGGATAGATATGCGGGTATATATAAGTACATTTTAAATGCATACATATACATGTTGTACACCTATGTCTTCATATTAGGCACATATATATATATATATACACCCATATGCATACGTTTTATACCCATGTTGACTGGACATGAGCCCTGCCGGCGACGGACGTCCTCGAACGCATCGATGAATGTGTAGCCGGAGTATCCCGTGGAAAGCGGCACCTGCATTCTAGGAAGATGCTTTATGGCTACATTCCGCATCTGTCTTGTATGCACAGACACTTACCTATCTGAGTATGCGTCTATTCATGTATATACATGCTACATGGGTATGTCTGTATACATTCATAAGTCTGTGCATATACATATATATATATACACATATTTATATATATATATATATGGCGCAAGTCAGAGAGAGTACACAGGTATACTGTACGAACAAATATGCCCTGCTGCTCTTAGAGCTTCCGGATCTTGAATTTCAACTTTGGGAGTTAAGGGTTTTTGGTTCAGGTCATTCCACAGCTTGTGGTTTAGCTTACTGGCCTCTCCTCGGATCCAGCATGCACGGAGGCTGCATCCGAAAAAGAACTATGTGAATTGCCGTCACGAAAGTTTCGGTTTTCGCGCACTGATCTGTCCAGAAACCGGTCATGCAAAAGACGAGAGTCTCATGAAGCAAACATGGTCCTTGCAGCCTCGTCAATAAAGGGTCGTGTTCTATGGTGTTGGTGACAACCACAATAACAGGTACGGAAGAAGCAGAAGAAGAAGCAGGGTGGTAATAAGAAGAACAGAATGGTTTCGAGCCGGCGGTAAACTTGGCAGCACGAAGGTCATGATATAGTCGGTAGCAAACATACTATTACAACACTTGCCAAGAAAAATGGCAGCAGCAGTGCCGTCGGGAAAGACGTGCATTTAGACACGGTGGTAGTGGATCTCAGTAGCCCTGACATCCTCTAGACTTTTAAGTCCTGAACTTACAGCCCTGAAGCCTACGGCACCAAACGAGACTGCAAGCCCTCAACACAATCTCAGTTGCCTCGTAGAGCTCGTTTCCAAGTCCGTGCTCGTAGTCGGCTGGCGGAAGAGCTCGATTGCCGTTGAGTTGCTCCGAAAAGCTTTGCACTAGGGATCAACGATGATCAGGGGCTTACGCTTTAGATTAGAGGTTGTTAAAGAATGGGGTCTTCTGGTTCGGACAAGACATGGGAAGGGGATGATCCCAGGGATGTTTCTTTCTTGACAACACGTCTTGAACTGACTAACCTTGTCGGGACGAGCCAAGATCAGGTCTACGCTTCTCTGGGACAACTCGTGGGATCCATGGCTCATGGCCTCGCCTGGTACAGTAGCCTCAACCAGTAGCGATGTTGATCCCAAGGGGGTAATCGCCTTTTGGTGACAGAAGAATCGACCCCGAGAACCACGTTCGAGGCTTACTGTTTCTTTTCTTGGAACTGTTTGAAACGTTTTGTCAAAGTACCCACTAAGCCTAGCCCACGAAGCCTGAATCCCCTTTAAGCTGCTGAGTGCCGTGCACAGCCAGTGCCGCCGCACACGGTACATCACATCGGTGCCCTCGCCTCTGGATTTAGCATGGCAGGCAGCAAGGCTTTCTAACCACCATTAGGCGCTCGGGTGCTCAAGCGTGATGCATTTCGGGTGTCCGGAAGCCTCAGATGCGAGGGCTTCTGGTGCCTTTTGAGCTTGCGGTGCGGAAGTAAGCGCTCATTTAATCCGTTCTTTGGAGCACTGCATGTCTGAAAGGAAGTATGAAAGGCACCAAATTACAGCGATTCATTCTGTGTCTCTGCTTGTGGTGTGAGCTTCTGCGCTTACTACCACTCCACCTTTTCAGGATGATATCCGATGCTTGTGCTGGAGGCAGGCCGAAGCCGAAACTGATGTGACATGAACCGGGGACCACGATTTGGTCAGCACAAGTACACCGATGCCAGCGAATCCTGAACACATGGGCAGCTAAATTGAGATAGAGGAGAAAAGATGGTGATTCTTACCATAGTCATGATGACATCGAAAAAGGTGGTGCTATCAAGACCTGTGGCGTGGATGACTGAGCTTCCTGCCAACAGAAACGCAGAGGTTGCTGATCATCGTGATGGCCCCAGGAAACATGCAAGCCTGTGTTCGGAGATAATGACTTGAGGCTTGCGGCTTCGGGTTTCAGATTTGGAGAATCCTGTAGCTGGTCTGGCATACGCCGCACCTTTCCCAAGAGGCCCATCTTGATGGCATCCACGCCTGCACAAGAGTATAGCAATAGCACTTGCAGGCTAGGAAGGTCATTTGGGGCCCTGGCTGACGAAATAAGAGTTGGGTGTAGAGCCAGACAAGATAGAGCCACGGTGCCTGAGGTGACAAGCTGCGAAGGATTTGAACAGCGCACTACTTGTTCTCTGGGAGCGCGGCTGAGCACTGTGAAGAAGGCCTGTCATGTTAATTATAGTGAAAACCATCATGTTTACTGAAAACACCCAAACTCTGTTTCTTGGGCAAACACATGTTGCGCGGATCTTGCTGCCAGCTGCGCAAATGGCATACGTGCCTTCAGTGCAACTTGCAGATCTACACTGATGCAGCATGCTCATGCAGACCCGCGCTGTGAGTTACTAGTTATTGCTGTGCGTGTGGGTGTGGGTGTGGGTGTGGGTGCGTATATATTTCTTTTAGTATGTATGTGTATATACATAAAAATTATAAACATACGCCAAACATATATATATATATACTTATTTATTTATTCATCTATCTGTCTATCTATCTGTGTGCGTGTGTGCGCGCGTGCGGGCGTGCACGTGTGCGGCTGTGGGGGGAGGCGGGGTGGAGTGGGGGGCGGGGGGAAAGTAGATTCTGGGTGCCCGGCGCATAATGTTTGCCTGATCATCACTGTCCACTTCGGACGTCATCATGTTCGGCAGGATCTCGGCCCAGTATGCCGCCACGTCAAAATCTCATATGCACCGCGCTTCCCGGGCAGTCCCAAGTTGCAAAAATTCTTAACCCTCTAAACCTTGACACCGAAACGCAAACCCCGAGCTCCAGGCCACCGCTGTCTTTGCATATGCCGCAGCGACTCTGCGGCAGTCCGCCGGTTGGAAAGTCTGGTCAAGAGGTTTGGGCTGTTGGGCTCATTGGATGGTGACTTTTGGAGTTTAGTGGACTCCTACATGACATGATTATTAAAGGCCTGTTCTCTAAGGACCATTATAGCAAGGTCCCGTGTACACGTATAATAATCCTGATCGAATGATGACGGTGTTTACTGCAGGTGTAATCATCATCACTACCGCCATTAGCGTGGCAGTAGTCTCACTGATGCGCCCAGCACAAAGATGACAACGAAAAACAACCACGGACAATGGCTACAGCAGGCACAAAAAAGGCCACAAGAACAGCACAGTGAGGCGTCAATCGCACAGGCCAAAGTGTTGGCGATGACCCCATCATGATCCCAATGTTGATACTGCTACCTTAACGGTAGCACCAATGCCGAGACACACAGACGGGCCTGAAGGAAGAAACATGAGAGAGAGAGAGAGAGGCGAGCAGTAGCAACATCAACATCAACATATATCTATCATCTATCCATGTACTTGACTTATAGAAGTGTGCATGTACTTGAATTAAATAAGACTGCACACCTCTCCCTTGATGAGGAAGACTCGGCTCCGAAACCTCGGCCAGGAGGTAAGAAAGACGAGACTTACAAGTAGTCGGGGAAAGCATAGACACCATCAGGCCCCGTCATGGAGGCGTCCTTGAGGTCAAGCAACCTCCAGAGGATAGGATTTTCATGGATTTTCGATTTTGAGGTTTGGGTACGCCTTTGAGCCCCAGCCTTCGCAGGTGGGACAGCACCTTGGCATCCTCGAGGAATACCACGACATCGCGTGCCTGGTTGTTGCTTCGAGGTCCATCCCCTCTTATCCGGCAGAACTGCAACAGTTCGAAGACTGGCCTCGCGCTCGAAGTCCAAACCACCCGCGAAGTGGTTCGGATGGTAATACTGCCGAAAGCAGGGTTGCAACCAATATCGGCAGGTTAGAACAGCTACTACCAGTACCAGCGAGTCTGGAAACATGCTGCCTCAAACAGAAACTCGATCAGCGTCTTCGCCGTCCTGCCATACTTACACATTCAATGCAGGGGAGCGCTCTTCCGTTCAAATCGTGGCCAGCATGAAGGACGAGAGTCTGAACGCCTCTACAGTCAGCATCGACAAAGACTGACAACAGGATATGTGAAAAACTAGTGACGACGGTGCAAACAGAGTGCAAACAGTGCCGGTTGCTCGGGCTGCCAGTAACAATGGTGTGGCCATCACTTCGGTGCTGCCTGGCCCGGAACCCGAAACCCGGAACGAGGGACCGGGGGGAGCCGTGCTTCCGATAGTCGCATCCAAAAACGATGTCAGTTTAGTAACACACACACAAATACCATTCCAAGATCTGAAAGAGATGGGGACGCCTTGAACGTAACTTAAGCGCATTGAGGGGTCCCTTTGCTGTGAAGGCTCCATGCATCTGGGGCTGTGGCCTGCTCTCAATGGGATATCGCCTCAAGGAAGTGATGAAACGCTGGAGTCTCTAGATTACCAGCTTGAGCGATCTTCGCTTTGAGGAGACGCGACATGAAAAAGATGCTATACTGCAAGGGAGGCACCCCACGAAGCTCGCACGCCCTGTCAAGGCGTTGAGGCCCACAGGCACTATCCTGCTCAGAAATCATCGAAGGTTCGCACATACTGCACAGTGGCAACAAGCAGCCCGCCTGGCCATCTGGTAAATGGCGACACCCAAACCGAAGACGGCAGCTATCTGCAGAGACAAGCATGTGTGGTGACAGCCAAACGAAACGATCACCAGCAACTGGAGCAACAAACAGCATCAACATCATCATCCTGATGACCATCCTCGGAAGAACGGCAAAGGCTTAAAAGGTGGTCATGGTTGTCATGACTTTAACACTACTGAATATGGTGGATACTGATAGACGATGATGCTTGATGGTGGTGATGACGATGGTGCTGATGGTGCCGGCCTGCGATGATGATGATGATGATGATGATGATGACGATGATGATGCCGGCCTGTGATTGTGATGACGATGATGATCATGATGATGATGATGCCGGCCTGTGATTGTGATGATGATGATGATGATGATGATGATGATGATGCCGGCCTGTGATTGTGATGATGATGATGATGATGACGGTGATGATGTCAGCTGTTTCGCGCAAACTTGCACTATGCGGTTGATGGGAGCAAAGTGCGCGAGAGCGTCCGCGGTGTGAACTTGACGTGCTGCCAGCTGTTGCGCACCAGGTTTTGCAGCACAGCGACACCATCCGTGTTTGACCTCCATGCATCAGCAGAAATCACAACAACGAAGAACCTGATGGCAGCGAAGCTCGGTGGCACTTCGGCAACTCGCCTTGTCCCTTGCTGCAGGCCCGGCCCGAAACCCTTTGCGACGGCCTGGCCAATCGAACAGCTCGGGGTCCGCTCCTCGGTCCGCTTCGGTCTTCTGCTTGTAGTCGTCTGAATTTCAAGTCGTTTAAAGTTTAGGATTCAGGGCTTGGGTCTTCTGTGAGGCTTAACCAAGCTTCAACGGATTTCGTCAGGTTCTATGTCGTGTCATGAGGTTTGCCCTCGTTTGAAAGAGAAGGATCCGATGGCGAGGGTACAGATATGGCTAGCATCATGCGCTTCTGTAGGGATGATCCCTACAAGTGGTATCCGATCGTTTTGAACCTTCTAGATTGCTTGTGGTCGTAGTGCTTGTAGATGCTGGCATGACTAATCCCACAAGAACTCTTCATAAAATCGATACACACATGCACACTGACATCGAGGCTGGCATTCCGTAAACAAGGTCGCTGCGCAAAACTGCATTTGCTGAATGCCTGGCGTCCAGCGATACGCATGCAACACGGCTATTGACGGTCTGCTGGTCGTCTTGCTGTAAAGTTTCCGGCAGGTTGCGGTTGTCCTGGCCATGTGCTCCCGACCAGCACCATCATCAGCAGGCCGCGGATCACCAAGGACATCACCATCACCGCTCCCCTCATCATCAAGCGATGGCAAACGTCAGAAAACGGTGCTGTTCTGGCGAGCACACTCAAACAAAGCTGATGTTCGCATGGTGAACATGGATCCTCTCGAAGCCGAATGTAGCCCCAGGGGCTGGCCCTCAGATCCAGAGTCCCAACAACGTAAAGCTTGAAGCAGAAAGGACCCCAAATTAACTCTTCGCCCCGAAAAGCCTTACGCCTGAGCGCCGGGCACTGTTTCCTAGCAGCGTGAACAGGGACACGGACCAGACCTTAAACGATCGATTCTCCCTCGATTTTAGGGACTTGGGAGTTCGAGCTTGATGTTCCGTCGTTGCCGCCTCTGCTGGTTGCTCCAAGCTTTGCAACCCTGTATTGACCCAGCATGCTGGGCATGTGACGAGACCATCGGACATCGTCCACGGATATTCCACGCCTCAGCCCATCTGAGGCCTGAACAGCTAATTACTGGTAATACTCCGGGGACACATGCTAGCTGAAGAGTACTGGGATTGCCTTGAAGTAGCGCTGAGAAAGCAGTGAAAATAAACAATCAGAGGAACTGCCAGCGGCAACATCTGAGAATTTGCAAAAAGAACCGCTTCATCAGGAGCCCGAGGCTCCCAGCCAGGCAGTCGGTCTTGCGCGATGCTGCCTGGACTTGCGGCTTAGGGCATCTTAGACTTCTTCGGGCCCTCTTAGGGCTTGCACGGCTTGCAGGCTTCAAAGAATTTTGGTGTTTAGGATGTGCCGCTTCAGTCTGGAGCTTCTTGGTTTTGCGGCTCTGTGCCACCAATCCTTCGAATCAAAAGACTGGCACCCTCTTAGTCTCAAAGCCCGAGACCGTGTCAAGGGTGCAATGTGTAAAGCGAAGGAAACCCTGAGGAAAACGAGCTCTGCCCCTGTCTTCGGAGCCCACAACTGCTATGAGAATCCATGCCGCGCAGGCAGACCCTGATTTGATTTAGAAAGACCCCGACTTGGCTTCGAGGCTTCAGCGCTTCAACCCAAGGCTTAGCGGCTTTTGCAGCCTGCAAACTCTGGCCGGCCGGCATTAGGCTTATGGCGGCTTACGGTTGAGGACTGCCCGGTGTGGAACGTTCTAAGCAAAGCCTCAGGATTGGCTACTCAAGCGTGCATCGCAATTGACACCGGCCTATGTCTGGCACTGTGGCTGGCACTCGATGATAAGTGTCTTTATCGTTCTGCCGTGCTGCATCCTTCTGAACATCAGTTTGTGATTCTCTTTGCTGGCAGTGGATTGCGAGGGTCGTTTTGCAGCATGTCGTGACTACTTTTAAACTTTTAGCATAAGTAGTGTGACTGCCACTGCCATTTGCCTCTGCTGCGATGACGACTACTTCTAATTACTCACCCCTCCTCCTCCTCCTGCTCCTCCTGCTCCTCCTGCTTCTCCTGCTCCTCCTGCTCCTACTGCTCCTATTGCTCCTCCTGCTCCTGCTCCTGCTCCCTGCTCCCTGCTCCCTGCTCC